GCTGGTTGTTGTTGTTACTGGTGCTGGTGCTGCTACTGCCTCGCCTTGCTGCAAGTTTTTATTTAGTGCGGCAACATTTGCCACTCGCTGCTGCTGCTGCTGCTGCTTGTCGTCTTGTCAACATGTTTTGTGGCAACATTGCTGCACGTATTCAAAAGTTAGTCAGGCCACGTAATTCACACGTCAAGCTAAATATGCTTGTTAACCACAGCTCCAGTTTGTGCCCCAGCCATCATTTATTACCTCATCAAAGGAAAAATGTAAGACCCCATTTGGCTTAGAAATGCTTGCAAAATTAGTTTGAATAACTATTTCAAACTTGGTGCCAATATAAATGGTAACTCATATGGAATACATTTAAATGTAACTTCTTTTTACAAATTCTTCTTTGCCGATATCAATTTATTTCAGAATTTTTAATAAATTGTTTTTAGCATTAAATAATTAAATTGAGAAACAAACATAAACTAATCCTTTACAAGCGCAGTATCAAATATTTGACTTTAATTCGGACGTTGACGAAGATTAAACACAAATATATTTAAATACCAACAATTGCTTAAAGATAAATATATTAGCAGAAGAACAACATAATTTTGCATGAGTGTGTAATATGTTTGCTCCTATTTTGCAATTAATAAGAAATTAAGCTGTTTAAAAATATTTGAAATGTTTGTAACTTGCAAAATTCCTTGTGCAACATAGCTGGCAACAATGCAAATATACGTACATATGAGTGGCATAACTTTGGGGCGGAAACCAAGCAGCTTGTGGTTAAGTTATTAAACGCATTATCATAAATACAATTGACAACAATATGACTAATGATAAGCTGGCATGCAACTGGAGCACAGCCCAGTGATGAAGACGGAAATGTAAGAAGAGAGAGGCAGAGAGGGAGAGCGTGAGAGGAATACGGCGGCAGGGACAGGTTGAGACAGCCAGCAAGCCGCAAATAAAGTGTTAATAATATAGATGGGAATGGCAGCGCAGTTTGCGCTTAATAAAACAGCCGCCAGCCTGTCAGTCAGTAAACCAACCAGTCAACCAGTCAGCCAGTCAGTCAGCCAGTCAGTTGGCACGCAAGCTGAGCTGCAATATGAGCCAAACTAGAAAATATGAAAAAAGCAAAGAAAATAATTAAAACAAACAACAAGAGCGCAAAATGCTAAACAGTTCAGGAGCTGCTCACGAGCTCAATAATAATGCGAGAGCAGCCAGCTCCCAGCTGAACTCAGCTCAAGGTGTATTTTAGCTGCGCGGCCTCTAACTGACCTACCTGCTGCGTCGCTAGTCGCTGGCTTGGTGGTGGCTAAAACAGGAATCCGTTATAGTTTATTGCCGCTTGCCGCATTTTAAATTTGGAGCAGGTGTAAAGTAGCAGCTCAACTCAACAAACAGAGACACTTGACCGCATTTTGGAGCTGAAGTGGCAGCCACGCGCCTACAAGCCAGGCAGGTGAAAAGTCTCTGGTCTTGTCCTGGCTGGCTGGCTGGCTGGCTAACTGTCTTACCCGAGGGTCGCTCAGGTTATAAATTAAGCGAGCGCCTGCAGCAGCAGCAGCAGCGAGGGGTCATTGCAGGATTCCCTGGCTGGCTAAGACGTTTCAGTTTGGGTTTCAGTTTCTGCATTTCGTATGATTGATTGTGGCTTAATGCCAGGCGGAAGCAGCTGAAGCGAAGGCGACGCATTTCACTAATCGACTGAGTGACTGACTGACTGACTGAGCCGATCTAGCTGACTGCCTGACTGACATACGTTACATTTCGCCTGCTTTACTCATTTGACGATTTGATTTGCTGACGCTGATAACAACAACGCTCTCACTCACCCCTAATCCGCAACAGTGTGAATTTAATTTACCAAAGAGCCGACAATCCTTTTCATCGCAAAGCTGCGAAAACTGTTACATTTTATCAAATGGGTTGGCTCTCCTCGTAGCACATCCTCGCATCGTTATCAAGATGTTCGCGCCACAATGAATGGAAGCGCCTCCCCGGGAGTGTTGTCACTGAGGTTTTTCAGTTTGTCTGCCCCGTCCTTTTGTTGTTGATCATTCAAATGAGATGCGATGCCAGTGATAAGAAGCTAGCCAGATTCAATATAATCTACTGCCAGCTGCCGATTTTGTTTTGTTGCTATTGCATTTTGGTTAATTGAATGGGCCATTGGAATTGAGGAACTCTTACACTATCCATCACCTGCTGCTGTTCCTCATAGATTCAATTGGTGGAACAACAACTGTCGCTCTCAGTCAGTGGGATTGTCATCTTCAAATGTCAAACACGTCGCGTTAAGTGCGCCGTTTGGCTGTGCATACAATTAATTATGTCATTCACGTTGGCGACGTTCGCTGGCTGGTCAGCTTGAAACTGCAATTAAAAGGCGCTTTCGGTACGCTTTTGGCTTTCAGCTTCATGCCGGAGACACGGCTTAGACGTTCAGGCGCTGAGTTGACTTGGCTTTAAGTTGACTTGAGTTCGAGTTGAGCTGAGTTGAGTTGAGCGCTTGTCAAACGCTTTTAAAACGCCACACACATGTCCAAGTCTCGCTTTATGGAGTGTCTTTTACATATATATATATTATATATATATACTCTAGCCTGTAGAGAGAGTCGGCTTTGGAGCTTTGATCTGTCAGTTTGAAGAAATCAAGCGCAGGCCAAAAACTTCAAAATGTGTTTTTTTTTTGTTTTGTCTTTTTTTTTTTTTATGCTGTGCGCTACAACAAAAATTAAAGGCAGATTTTATTGTAGCGGTTTGTTTATTGCTGCTGCGGCTGCTGTTGCTGTTGCTGCTGCTGCTGCCGCTGTTAATGTTTTTTTTTTGCTGTAGTTGCTGTGTAGAACGTGTCAGCCAGGCTTTTGGGTTTGGGGGACGGCCAAGGGCACGACGGCAACGACGACGTCGCCGCTTTTCACCAGCACGAGCTTTGCATACCGACAATGACAACAACAACAAAAATGTCGCTCTCTGTGTGTATGTGTGTGTGTGTGTGTTTTTGCAACTTTAATTGTTGTACTCAGCTTGATTTATTAGCGAATTGTTTTATACAAAAGATGCCAACAGCCTTAACAACATCAGCAGCAGCAGCAGCAGCAGCAGCTGCGGCATCGACAAAAGTCACTAACAGTGACTCATCGCCGCTTAACAGCAGCCTTAACAGCGCTCTGTTATCGCCAACACCATCGCACAAATTGAAAGTTTTCACAACCGCAATTAAAGCTCGCCTCGCTGCTATCTGTGGCAGCTCTCTGATTTGTGGCAAAGACCTCCATCCACATCGATACGTTTATAATATGGCATATCCAATTCGCTCATTTGGCCCAAAATTATATAGACTGTGGCAGCGATGACGACTTTATATACAACCACAAGTTCTTGTTATTGAATATTGTTGACTGGTGGCTGTTGTTTTGTTTTGTAGCACGTAGCTGCAATCGGGCAACTGCAATTGTCTCTGGCGCAAAAGTGTGAAGTTTGCTCTTTTGCCTGCTTGTAACAAGCCGCAACAATTGAGGCATTGCAATGCAGCAGCAACTCTCAGCGACTGAGACAGAAAGGCAACAACAACATTTCCGACTACGACTGCGACTGCCGCTGTACATAATTTCTATAATCAGAAACACGTACATATAATATCGATGCTAAAGCACTGTTATTAGGATAATCAAATGGATATTATCGCAGGCAGCGATCGATCGCAAGCTGGCAGCAGCCAACCGGGCAACAGTCAGTGGCAAAAGGTAAAGGCAAAAGCCAAAGGAGTCGCAACGCAGAGTGCCCTTTTGGAACACCCTTGGGAAAACCTGGCAAAACAGAACTTTGTATGCATCGAAAACGTATCACAGTTGCCCTTATTTTCTGATGCATTCGGATTAACTCATTATTTGATATGTTGAACCAAACTCATCTCAATTTAAATGCAGCTGCAAGTGTGGGAAAGAGCATCTACAGTTCGTCTTGGCTCTGATAGCTTTATTCACCCCATCATTGGCTGATTGTTACTTGCGCTTCGAACTAATCCATCCAAGGCGTACATTGAACTGACTGACCTACTGTTAGACAGACTTTTAAGCCAACGTTGGCGTCGACTCCGTCTCCGACTTCGACTTCAGCTTCAACTTCAGCTGCTGCATAATCAAAAATAATTTCACATACAAACAAGCCCCAAAGCTAACACAGCGATGCCAAGCTGCAGAGCTGGAGCCCAATATTAATGATAATAATAAGAATAAGTGCGCGCCCCCCCAAAACAATTGCAACACCCCGCTGCCAGGATATGGATATGGCGTGGCATGCAGCATGGTGTTGCAGCAGCGATGCGTTGCAAGCTATAGAAACAGCAGCATTGGCGCACATAAATCTCACTTGGTGTCCGCTAAATTATACACTGCCAGACATTTAGGCTACACTCTTAGCCCGGCCAACGTAGGCAGGGGGTTTGTAGAGGGGGCGGATGGTTTAAGGCCGCGGCGCATTCGAGCCGCTGATCGATCTTTTTTGCTTTGGGACAAAAGTTTAACGCGATTGTTTATGATACAAATTAAACAATTTATGACAATGCGGCAGCCGCAGCCGCAGCAGCAACAGTTGCTTGCGTTGGCCATATGCAAAGTCTGCTGCTAAGGCCGCAAGCGTCGTTTTGTGGCCAATGGTCAGTGCCTTACTGCCTGAGCAGCAGTGGCAGCAGCGGCAGCAGCAACTGTTGCTGGTGTTTCATAAATTATAACGCAGCTTTTCCGCCTCGCAAAAGAGAACAACGTCATTTATTATGCATTTTTTATCGCTTCTGGTCTCTGTCTTCCTCATTCTCTTGCCTCTCCCATCCATCTCCCTGTTCGATTCTCATCTCGGCTTAGACTGTTAATCTTCGTTATAAATTTTGGCCATAATTGATTTAATGCCGCATTTAACTTGATTTTTTTTGGCGTGTTTTATTAAATTCTTATCGATATTTAATTTTGTTTTTTTTTTCGTTTTTCTTTTCTTATTTTCAGCATCCCGCATGCCCTCCTCACATGCCACGCCCCAAGTGTGCCGTCCGCACTTTCATACGCCGCTCAGTCCCTGGCTGACCAGTGAACACAAATCGTTTGCACCCGCCAGTGCCTGGGGCATGGGTCAGTTCGCCTGCCCCCAGGAACCGCAAGTGGAGCACAAACTGGGCCAGGTGGGCCAAAGCCATCAGACGACGGCAGCCGGCCAGCACTCGTTCCCATTCCCACCAACACCGCCAAAGGACTCCACGCCCGACTCAGTACAAACCGGTCCATCCGAGTACCAGGTAAGTTTTCAGAAGTTCAAAATAAGATCGATTTTGATTAAGCCGCTCTTCTTTCAATGAAGGACAAAAATGATTACTAATTTTGAAAACAATGCTTACCACAGATAAAATGATTTTATCTTTCGAGCTTAGCTAGAATAATTCTTTTAGTGGAACTGTCAGCTTTCAGAATTAACTGTTTAATCCTTGCTGTCATTTTATAGGCCGTGATGAACGCTTTTATGCACCAGCAGGCCACGGGCTCTACCTCACTGACGGACGCCAGTTGTGCGCTGGATATCAAGCCCTCCATACAGAATGGTGGCGCATCCGTTGCGCATGCCGGCAGCGCTGGACCCGCCCAATCCTCGGCGCCCAAGCAGCGCGAAGGTAGTACTAACAACAACAACAACACCAACAATACAAATAGCTCAAATAGCAGCAGTAGCAGCGCCAATCAAGCGCCGCAGCAGCAGCAGCAGCAACAACAGCAGCAGCAACAGCAGAATAGCAACAACAACAACAACAACAACAGCAATGCCTCCTCATCCGCATCCGCATCGACATCGAATGGACTATTCGATGGGACCGCCCAGGCGCACTATGCGGCGAACAATGCGAACAGCTACGACAGCAGCTATGCCTCGTATCACCATGCGGCGGCACAGCATCAAGCGGCTGTTGCTGCGGCCAATATGTTCCAAAGTTCCTCCGTGGCAGCAGCGGCTGTGCGGCATAGCATGGGTGCCGCAGCGGCGGCGGCAGCGCATCACCACCATCATCACAGTCATGGCCATCATCATAGTGCATCCGCCTCCGCCGGTCCGGGTGCGGGTTCCGGCTCAGGTCTGCATGGTGGCGGCGGTGGTGGTGGTGTTGGTGGTATGAGTGGCATGGGCGCTATGAGCAGCGGCGGTCATAGCAGCTCCAGTGGCACTGGCGGCGGCGGCGGCGGCGGTGGAGGTGTTGGTGGTGTTGGTCTCGATGTGAAACCCGTGCGCACAAAGCCCAGGACGAGTGCTGGTAAGCAAGACAAAAGTTAACACAAATCGCGATATTGGTGTGGGTGAATAATAATTGTTAATGATCGATCAATAGTTCGATTGATAAACGATATTTGCTTATATTTCAATTTATATTTACATTTGTATTTGTATTTGTATTTATATTTAGATGTGTATTGTCCGTAAACACTTATCGTTTACTACTTTAGTTTTAGTTACTAGTTTTAGTTATAGTTTTGTTTTTTATTTTATTATTTCCTTTTATTGTGGCATAAGTTAATATTTTCTCATTTGTTGCTCTCGGCTTTTGATTTCCGTTTTGTTTCACACGCTCGCGCACGTGGGAAGCTCTTCACTTAACTGCACTATGTGGCACTCTTTGCACATTTCCAACAGCGGCACTTGACATGTGTGTGTGTGTGTGTGTGTGTGTGTATGCTCTCTTCTCTATATGCCTCCCCCTCTATATTTCTATCAGTGTGTCCGCCACTTGGGCATGTTTCCTGCTCGAGTCGACTCTTAATGTATGTATGCAGTCGAGCAAATTCAGATTTGTGTAACAAACACGCCCCCGTCTGGCGTTTGAGACTTCTTCTTCTTCAATGCAATGCGTATACGCCGCGTGCGTTCACCATGAAATCACCACAGCACAATGACAACAACAACAGCAATACGAAGAAGTAGCAAGAGCCGCAGAATTGCAGTTGCAAAAAGAAAAAAAAAAACATAATAAAAAGCAAAACAAAACAAAACAACAACTTCAATGCTATTGTCAACGCTTTTGGCTTGGCTCCACTGCGTCATCATCGTGTTTGTTGTTGCTGTTGTCGTTGTGTGTTGTAGTTGTTAATTACTTCATGTTTCTGCTGCAACTCCTGCTACACACACACACACACACACGCACACACATTCATACAAACTCATGCTTGGCATTCGCTGCGGAAGTTTGTCGCTGCACCTGCTTCGCAGTCGCTGTCTCAGCCGGTTTCGCATGTCGCTGCCAGCAAACTCCAACACAAAAACAACAACAGCAACAATAGCAACGACAACTTTATAGCCGCTGTAATGCGTAAGAGGGGTGAGGGTCGCCTTCGGCATCGGCATTGGCATCGGCAGTTGCAGTTGCAACCCCCAAAAGCAGCAGCAGCAGCAGCAGAGAATAAGAACACAACCAAAATATAAGAAACAGCTGTCTGCGCTTAACAGGCGACTGCTAATGCGCTGTTACTGCTAATGTTAATGCAACATTACAGTTACTCTCAAGACAGCGCACACACAAAACACAAATGAGGAAGCAAAAAGATGCCATGTGAACTTAAGATCTCTGTATCTGTATCTGTATCTGTATCTGCGTCTTTTGTATCTGAACATGCATCAGTGTATTTGTGATGTAGGAAGCTGCAAGCTGACAAAATGTTTTGCCTGCGCTTCATATTATTTCATTTGCTTCTCAGCCAGGCGACAGTTTCTCTTATTCTTGCTGTTGCTGTTTAACGAACCAAAAAAACAAAAAGTGATCTGCCACATTGTTACTGGGTGCGTTCGTTAACCAATATTCAACGTCCTCTGTCTGTTTGGTTTCTTGGTTCTTTTTTTCTTTTACTTATTTATCGTTTATCGCATCGCTTGCGATAAGTTTTTCGGGGCGCAAGAACATGTGTTGGGGCCCACTGTCCAAATCAATATAGCCAGCCAGTCACATTCCCCAATCAGAGTCTCGGTTCCACTTTTGTGTGCCACATGTCCAGTGTGCAGTTTTGGCTGGGATTTATGCTTGGGCCAGCGCCTGGCCAAATTGATTGGATGCCATTTGGGCTTTTGTCAGGTGAAAATAAAAAATGTTGTGAATGAGCTTTAAGTAATTGATATGGGTACGAACGATCCACGACCTATAGCTATGTCTTGGGCAGTCTTGCGATGTCGGGCGAAGCCTTCACTCAATCAGGCGTTGTCCGTTGTCTGCAGGCGCAGCTTAACAGCAGGGATGAGCTTCTTCTTGTGCGCCCATTGTTCCTTTGTCCAGCCTTTGGCCTGACAGCTGTGCCCTCGAAATGAGGCGCTTGCTGTTTATTTGAGGCATGCGTGGCATGGAGCCTGGTGCCAGTCTACGATCTCCCAGGTGACTCTCGAATTCGCGATTCCTTGTGTAAATTATTCATGCTAAGTGTATAATTTTCAGTTTGGCTTGCATTTGTTTGTTTTTTTTTAATGCTATTTTTTCTTATTTATTTATTTTGTTCTCTTGCCTTTCTTAAGCATTTTCATTTTCACGAAAGCAAAATAAATATATCAAATTCAACAACAACAACTATTTACTCACACATCCACATGTGTCTTTTGTCTTGTTCACCAGTTAATGTCTCTCTTTCCCCTCTACCTCTCTCTCTCTCTCTCTCTCTCTATTTCTCTCTCTCTCTTTCTTTCTCTATCACTGTAACACTGTCCTATCTATGTATCTGAAACATGTATCTATATATCTTTAAGTAACCTTTAACTAGTATAAATGTTTATTAATATCAACAAACAACAAAACAACCAGCAGCTGTAACACAGTCAACAACAACAGCAACAGCAACAACAGCAACAGCTACTAATTAAAACTGCAGTTGACCCTTCGTGATCGGCCTGCCCACATGCGACTAACAAATTAAAGGGAATTTTCGGAAAAGGTACAGCACATAAATTCTAGACAATTATGGCCACTGACGCCAAATGTCAAATCAAGCAGCGTCCACAGTTAGTTAGACCTTTAAACTCGGCATATAGTAGTACCCAAGACCTTTATGCCAAATCAGGCCCTAAAAAAACAGGTTCAGAGTCTTGGGCCACGGCACTCGGGTTCAGAGCAATGCCAGACAATGTCACACGGACCTGTGGCCGTAAAACCCAACAGAATACCCAAAGAAGAGCACACGAAAACGAAATACCAAAGTGTGCACAAATTTCCAAGAAATTACAACGCAATGCTGTGGATGATTTTGTGCTCTGTGGATGTGGCTATGGTATTTGGTTTTGACTTTGGGATGTGGCTGGCTGGACCAGGCCACAAGAGAAACAGTTATAACATGCTACTAAATCATAGGTTAACTGAGAACTGGCTAACCTGCTACGTGTTGTTGTGGGGAAAATGAAAATGAAAATAAATAAAATGTGAAAAACTGTCATAGCCATGAAGATAGACAACGGGACGAAGAGCACGCGGACGGCAGCCTGGCGACAGGCAAATTGAAATCAAAACAAAGCTGAAAAAAAACAACAATAATAACAAAGAACCCAAACATTTAATGGCCATAAAAAAACACACACGGCGTTTAAGACCAGAAATACACACAGAGAGAGAGAGAGATAGACAGAGAGGGAAAAAGCCACAAAAGGATCGTAGAGATCACAGCAGCCCCAGAAATCATATAAAAATTTACTAAAACAAAAGAGTCAGAACATAAGTGGGAGAGAGAAAGAGACACTGCACGCGTGCTCCGAGTATTCCATATAACCTATAACAACATATACAGTGGGATTCATATTACGGATACGAATACTTCAGGCAGGGGCAGTTGTTGTCGCCATCGTCGTCGTCGTCGTCATCGTCGTTTGCTTGTTGTTGCCTCTTGTATTGCCTTTTGTTGTCAAAAGTGGGCACACTGGGTAAAAACATCATTAACACATTTGATTTATTAACTGGCGAGTGGTTTGGAGCAGCAAACAACTACAGCAAACTTCATTGGAATTGTACTAGAACAAAAGCAACAAAAAAAGAACAACCACAGCAACAGGAGCAGCAGCAACCTCTCACAATGCCACAAAGCCACACTTTATGGCTCAATATGGGTTGAATGTGGAGAAGCACACAAGCAAACACTCAACCACTATGAGAGTTTATAACAACCAATAAATGCATAAAGTTTTCCGCTCTCTAGCAGCTACTGTGCAATTTGATTCACTGCAAGGCTACGCGAGTTTTGGTATATTCAAGAAAAGTTTGCCAATCGCATTTGGAAGTTGGCCAAATTAAGTCATCAGATACGCAAAACTGTAGAGCTTTCATCTGTTTTAAAAAAAATTATATTTATTTGCACAAAAGTCAGTGAAGTTGAATTGAATGATAAACAAATAAATTTATCCAGAAGAAAACAATTTCTTGATAATAAAAGGTGAAAAATATTTGCAGAAAAGTTTTAGTCTTTTAGTTTGATCAGTTATTATAATTATCAAAAATTATTGTCCAAAATAAAACTTAGGTGGTTTTAAATATAATAACAAAAAATTAATAGCTAAAATATGTTATCAACAAGAAATTTCAATTTAAAATTATCTATAAAAGGAGTTGTCACAGCCGCTATTGAAAACTATTTGCAGAACTCTTGATAAAGCTCAAAGTCAATTCAAACAAATATAGCTAAAAAAAATGTGCAAGTCAAGTCAAACAAATAACTGAAAACAATTTCAGCGACTTTCATATAATTTATGCAATTTTTATTTAGTGGGTGTTGCCTTTTTGATTGGCGGCAATTTGGCTTCGGGCCTTTGTTACGCAGCCCCCCAAAAATAAGACAAAAACTAAAAACCAAATAACGCCCAGTGCCAAATGTGCGGCAATTAAAAAAGTCGCACAACAAAAAAAAATAAAAAAAATAAATAAAAAAGAAAAAAAGAAAAAAAGAAAACGAAAACGAAAGCGAGCAGATAAAAATATCAAGTACACGCGCTATAAAAAGATATACATATATATATATATATTTATGTGTACACAAAAAAGCAAAGTAAAGTTGCGATTAAATGGAAACAAATGAACTGTTTATTTAACGCGCCCCTGGCGAGTGCGTGGGTGGGGTTGCTGTGGCTGTGGTGGTTGCGTTTGTTGTTGTTGCTGATGTGGACAATGCGCGATGCCCGCTGTGGGCCACCAAACACGCAGAACGTTTAATTTAATTTCTTTGAAAGCTCGAAAACAAAATGCTTGGCATGCCAGCAGGACAGCAGGAGAATAGAACGCACTAGAGCAACAGCAACAGCAACAGCAGCAGCAGCAGGAGCAGGACACGTGTGATTGTCCTGCTGTGTCGAACCCACTATAAACAGCACCAAATCACGTAAAGCTCTTAAAAACCAAAAGTAAATAAAAAAATACACGCCAACAAAGTTTCTGTCATCAGAATGTTGTCTAATGGGATTTGGGCAGGCAACGAGTTGACAACGCACTTAATGAGCACCACCGACTACTGCCTGACCCACTGCTCTGGGTGTGACCGCTAATATTCAATAAAAACAAATGGAAAAAAAACAACAACAAAAAAAAAACAAAAGGAATAAAAGTTATGCTCATGTGACCATGTAAAACTCACCGTTAATTAATTACATAGCACAAATATGCTGGCCAAATTGGCTTTTTCGGGCTGAAAGTAGCGTTAAATCTTTTGGCTGAGGTCGGCCCACAGTTTGATGTCTGAGCTTTTATGACTGAATTTCAATTTCAAAACAAGCAAAGCCAGAGAAAAACAAACGATATAATGAAGCCCATTTAGTGGCGTCATTAAATGCGAAGACGAAGAATATACAAATATCAACACGAGCAAATAAGCGTATGTATAAAGGCCAAATTACCAACAACAAAGACAAAAGGCAACTGTAATACGAACGTTAATAACGCGTTACATTTGCAACTTCATTTCCAAACCGAACCCAAGTCAAGTCGCTTACAAATTATGCCTAAAGTTATTCAAATGAGTTGCGTTTGCGGCCCTGCAAAGCGAAACAGTTAGGAGAGCAGCTCGCTGCTAATAGGCCGCGTGGAGAGGGAGTTAGAGCCGATTGCAGTCACTAGAACCGACGACGATGACGACGATGATGACGACGACGACGACGACGTTGCGGCGCTGCTTAATTAAAATGTGTAGAGTCAGCAAGGAGGGCAGCGCTGCAGCCCCAGACCCCAGACCTAAGAGCGCAGACCCCATTGCCAGCGAATCCATCATTTCCGCTTCCATGCGTTTTATGCCAACAACAACAACAACAAAAAGAGCAACAACTACAAAAGGCAAAAACAAAAACTGAGAAAAAAAGCAGTCGAAAAAATAAAACCAAAAAAATAAAAAAAATGACTGAGAAACAGCTGGAAAATGTGTGCCGCACAACGCTGTTGTTGTCGTTGTTAGTGTTGTTGCTGTTGCTGTTATTGTTTAACAAGCTGCCCCATTGTTTTTGCTGCTGTTGCCTGCACTTGGATTAAGCATCAGTTTTTGCTAATATACAAAAAAAAAAAACGAAAACAAATTTTTAAAAACAAAAAAGCCTTATTAAAGTTATTTACTAAATTTCATGAAATTTCTTTTGTTTTTGCAGAGGGCCGCGAGTGCGTTAACTGTGGTGCGACCTCAACACCACTGTGGCGACGCGATGGAACTGGACATTATCTGTGCAATGCGTGCGGACTCTACTATAAAATGAATGGACAGAATCGGCCCTTGATCAAGCCAAAGCGAAGACTGGTAAGCTAAACTTGCTCTCTCTCTCTATATACATACATATATTTCTAATTGTGCCACCCCGCTGTGTGCTGCTTCCACACATTGCCACAAATTGATCAATAAATTTATAAACTGTATTCCTGGGAATTTGCTGGCGCATCAATCTCAGCGCACGTTTCTGTCGCCAAAAGCCATAAAAAACAGCGTGAAAGTTCTCAAATGTCATAATAATTCCAAGAACATAACACAGCACAGTCAACATATACAAACGCATAAATATATGCATATGTATGTATGTATTTAATTATAATTTTTCTGACTATCTGGCGTCTTGATTGCAGCTGAGCTGAGTGAACGCTTTGGCTGATAACAATCAAGGCGCATCATCATTATCACTTAACGCACTAAAAACATAATCAGGCAGCAGCCACAGTCGTTTTTTTTTTCTTCTTTTTTGTGTGGGTTATGGAGATAGCTGTGATTCTACCTTTGCCTGGCTGTGCCCACCTCCTACTCTTCGACTCCTTTGTCTGTGTCTGTGTCTGTGTCTAGTTGGTCGAGGCACATTATCGTTTTTTATCGGGCGCGCGCATCAACAGCAACAAACTATGAAAATATATGTAACGCTGTCCGTCCGAAGGTTGCCCTGGCGCCAACTACATCAACAGCAACAGCAGCAAGCTCAGCCCAAAACGAAAGACTTAAGCAACGAACTCACACGCTGTCACTGCGTGTGAAAGAGAAAGCAACTGCGCAGCACAGCTCAACGTTGCTGTTGCTTATACAAAATTAGTCCATTAAACATGCGTAAAAACCAAATAAGCAAAAACAACAACAACGACAACAACAACAACGACAACGACAAGCAACGTTAACTGCAGTTTGGCAGTGAGGTTTGTGTCTTGGCTGTTGGCGTTGATTTTTTATTGGGATTTAAATCGTATGCATTTTGATTGCATAACATTAACATAAATAAACCATTATTGGATCCAACAGAAGAGGAGAAAAAAATAAAAACAAAAACAAAACTAAATACTGACGTGGCAACGGAGCAATCACAGGGAATTCCCAAGAAATTCACAGCTGGAGGCAACTCGAATAGTGTTTGTTGTTGCTGTTGTTGCTGTTGTTGCTTAAGGTGTTTGTTGATTTCTCGTTGACAAAATATGCAACAAATTAAAATTTATGTGCGCCGATGCTGACTTATGGTATAGTGACTGCTTGCACGCTCACACACACAAAAACAGGATGCAGCACATCAATGTCCTTCTTCTTTTTTTTTTTTTGAAGGGCCGCATCGCCTGTGGCTCTCTCGCTCACTCTTTGATATGCAATTCAATTGTTTTGGGGCGCTGCCATTGAAATCGTTTGCGATTCGATTGCTGCTCGTGCTGGGTGGCAATTGTATTGATTTCGCTAAAGCTCTGAGGGTCAAGACAACAAGCTTGAAGTTTTACATACATACATACGTATTTCGCTCTGGACATTGACCACTTGGCCAACTGCACCTGCCCCGCTGAACGACTGTGGTTTGCGCATCTCATTGTCTGCTCGGTCGCCTTTAATTAAATTTCCGAATTGTATGAAAACAGTCAACAAGTCGTAACTTTGAGCAGCATACAGAAAATTCTTTGTTGTTGCTTTTGCTGTTGCTGTTGCTGAAACAGAACAATGCAAATTTTTAATTTATGTATTTTAGCCTGCAACAACAACGACTCCGTCGCCTTCGCTTACATATGTTTGCAGTTCTTGTTGTTGCTCATTGTTGTTCGTTATTTTTTCTTTTTCCTTTTTTTTTTTGTTTTTATTTTTTCGGCCGCTGGCGTTTCAATAATTGCATTTAATTATAAGGCCCAAAAAGTAGTTGTATGCGCCACTCTCTGCCGCAGGCTCTGTGGCAAGTCCAGGCCAAGCCCAATTGCTGCAACCTTCAACGGATTTGTCACATTTGGACGTGGTCTTCAGGCTATGACTACGCCTAATTGCAAATGCATGTTAAATGCTTAGGAACACAGCTGTTAAGGTCAACTGCAGGCGCATCTCAAAACTGCAACAATAACAACAACACCAGCCAAGCAATCGTGACTTATATAAATATAAATATAAGCGGCATGTGTTAGTCAAACCCTATAGCAGGAGGGAGCCGAGGGCATACAGGAGGTGGGGAGCGGTGCTCGAGCGTTGCTTACATTCTGCATAATATTTATGCCGCTGTTTGCAGTTTTTTTTATTTCTTTTTGTTTCATTTTTTAATTTATGCGAATTTTCACACAATAAATTGAACAAAACGCTTGCATTTGTTGTTGTCGCGATTGTTTCTGTGCACTCGTATATACATTTTGTTGTTAAGCGATGCAAAATTGTTTATTTTTATGCTTATTACGTTGCCTTCTATCATTTGCATGCAAAGATTGCCAAGCACTAACGGCAATGGCAACGGCAACGGCAACGGCAACAACTTGCAATTGCCATTTGCAGCTTGAGCTGGCTCTGTTGCTGTTGTTGCCAGAGTCGTTGTAACAATAAACACATCAACACTTGGCACAATCATTTATAAATGTATAATTTAAGTGCCTCCAAAGACGCTTAATTAATTATTTATCAAAGGCGTATTTCAACGCCGACAACAAGCGAAACAACACCAACAACAAACTTGCGTTAGTCGCCGCTTAACGGCTATTAAACATATCACTTTTCATTTCAAATGCCCTCACTTAGAAGTATTGCTTAATTGGTCAAAACAAAATCGAAATGTTCATATAAAGATATGTAAGAAATTTATATGTTCGCGGTTATTATATAAGGTCGCACTAAAAAAAAATAATCGCGAGATGTTAATAAAAATTACATTTGTAATTCAGCAAACGGATAGAAAAATATTATTTACTTGGAAAATCCGAAAATTCTCAAAGCAAATAGGCACTCTATCTCCACTTAACTTATTGTTAATCGCTGGGAAAAAAATTGTAATAAATCTGGGAAATATTTAAAAACTAAAAAAATTAACAATAAACTAAAAAGCATTACTCTCAAAAATGTGTATAGAAAATCAGTTTCTAGTTTGGTTACCATCCAAGTGGACTTTTTAAATGTTAGGCAACACGCTGTCCAGTCACATCAACAGCAGCAGCAACAACAGCCACAAGCCAGAGACCAACTAGCTGAACTTTAAGCCACAAACATCAATAAATTTAACTGGCGTCAAGTGATTGACAAACGCTGACTCGACAGTTTTTTTTTTTTATGGATAAGCTATGCTTATCAAAAGCTCGAATAACACAGCAACAACACAAATAGCCCGAAATTCTAATTAACACATTTTCGCTCGCATTGTGTGTGCGCCATATGTGCGATAGACGCTCGAATCGAAACTGTATCGAATTGAATTGGTAGCCCTTTGGCGTGGGAATTTCGCGCATAACGCGTATTAAAAAAAAAAAAAAAATCTGAAAGCAGGGCTCACAATTCTGGAGGCAGTGACGCCAAAAATTAAATGCAAGACGCAGACGCTGTGCGTATAAATCAAGTTACCAAAATGCGCGCCAAATGAAAGTCAAAGTCAAAGCGATCGATAAAGCAACAACAACTACAACAACAACAACAACAGCAAGAACAAAACGAATCAAAACTAAAGCAAGAGGCAACTTCAACGGCAACACAACAAGCAATAACAACATTAACAACATCAACAACTGAGGCCAAGTAAAAGTTCAATGCACGTTCTGCAAATGGGGCGTATACGCAATCGAGCGCATTAAGTCGCCTGGGTTTGATTTTGTGGACCTGAGCCAGCGGCGAGAGCAATATGTTTTCTGATTTTGTTCTCCTTTTTTTTTTGTTTTGTTTTTTTTTTCTTTTTGGGGCGCTAGGATCTTGTTAAGAGCGCGCTCATTTCATCAAGTGGGCAGCCTAATGCCATTAAAATGCACTTGAACCGGGTGACGGGGGCAGCCAAACGGGATTCATGTCTCCTGCTGCTCTGCTTTGGGGCACAATCTGACGAACCTGAACCAACTCGACTGCAACTTTGTGCTCCAACACAGATCAATTAAAAATTAACGATATGAAGCGCAGCCGCAGCCGCAAAACTGGGCGTGCCAATAATATAATGAAACAGGCTCTCACACAGCCAGATAGACAGAGATAGAGAAAGAGATGCAGTGAGAGAGAAAGAGAGCTATTGGAGTCTGTATGCGCGGGTCGCAGATGATTAAGGCCGCGTCCTGCTTGTTAAGGCTACCCTGGCTCACAAGTCTTTTGCCAGCCTTGAGGTGCTTTACGAGCTTTACGTTAAATGTGAACGGGTTGAAAATACATACAAAACCTATTTAATATGCAAAGGCATAATTTGCACAGGGGCGCACAAGGCCTGACCCAAAAGGGTTGCATTTCTAACCCTTTCATTTTGGCCAGACAATATACATATATGTGAAAATGTGTCCAGGCACGCAGCCCAGTCCAAGTCGAAGGGGTCGGAAAAGCGCGTGCTAAGCGCACATTCATTTTGGTGACAGCAGCTGGCCAACGGGCAGGCAGGCTACTTCTAGCCAGGTTCTATAATTTATATATGCAGTTTGCAATGTCCAGTGACAAATATTAATGACGATTTTCATGCCTTCACAAATCGGAACAGGAACGGGAATAGAGCTCGAGTACTGCGACTGGTTTGCCTTCACTTGACCATGTTAGTTGTCAGTGTTGTTGTTGCTGTTTAAAATGCATAAGACCGAAACCTTTTGGGCGCTGTCTGGCAACAAATTTCCATGCGACAAGTTGTAGCCACAACACTAGCTCCAAAAGCATCGTAAAATTCATTGAGCAGCATTAATGAGCGACATTAATAGCTTGTCGTTGCTGTTATTTTTGTTGATTCTCTTATTTTTGGCCGGTTCAGTAAAAACATTTTATTGATTTTTTAGTAGCTTTTAGCGGCAGGTGTGATTTTAGCAATAGCTTTTTTGCTTTCTTTGTGCGTGCCAGAAAAATAAGCTAAGCTGATGTATTAATTAAGCAAATGTGTGGCAAACTTGCGTCGCAAACGAAGCCAATCAACGAGCCGTGTTTGACAACCCTTCAACCAAATAAAAAAAATATATAAAGAAATGAAATGCCAGAGCAACAGCCTGCGTTTGCCACGCCTCAGCGACGAACAGCATGTGGCTGGGGCTCAGCAAAACGAATCCGCCTGCAAAGGAAATGAGCCAGGACATGAAAAGCAAAAAAAATAAAAAATAAATAAAAGAGTCAGTCGAGTCCATTTTGTCCTGCCGCAAACGAAATTTGAATTTTTAAATTAAATTTCACAGTCGCACAAGTTTTATTTCTACGGTTTATATTCTCTTTTTGTTGAATACATATGTGCATATATTTTCTGCACAGCACGACAGACAACAACAAAAGGAGGCGCCTGAGTGCGTATACATAAATATATACATATATATCTAAATATATATATATATATATAGGGCTGCACACTCGTCTAAATGTAACTGTTATGGTTTGGACATTTTGTTACAGCTTTGTCGTTTTCATTTTATTTCGTTTCGTTTGGCAACCACCCAAAAAACACCACCCAAACCACGCAACCACACTGACAGTTACCCAAGTCAAAGCCAGCATCAGATATAGAAAATTTCGTTGCGCTGCTGCCTCAGAGATCTGGGCGCTATCTTTTGCCATCTTCTCTTTGTGTATCGGTCTGTTTGTGTGTGTGTGTGTGTATGTGTGTGCGTTGTGGGGGCTGCTCCAAAACAACCCCCAAAGGGCAAATTCAGCGCTGGGGGTTGGCAGGCAGTAACTGCAAACGACTTTTTGCGCTGGCTGCGAACAATTTAATGAATGTTTTGTCAGATAAAGCAAAAAAAAAAATATATAAAAAAAAACGAGCTGATAAAATGTCTGTCTCTGTGTGGGCAGTGGGGTAATACGCACACACATACATTTATATATATATATATATAATACAAATACAGCTACAGATACATAGCATATATACACAGATACAGATAGCACGTATAATACATACTTATACAGACGTTGCCTCTGCCCTCAAGTGAAAGATGTTACACTGAGATAAACGTAACATTTACTGGGCAGCATCTCTCTCTCTCTCTCCCTCTCTCTCTCTCTCTCTTTCTCTCCCTATCTCTGTCTCTCTGACTATCTCGCTCTGTGGCAAGAATGGGACTGAGTGCTGCCTTTGGTGCGATATCTTAGATGGAAAAGGGCATTGCCATCCAAGGCGCACAAAAGCTGCGCAATAAATAGAACTGTAGCTGTGTTGTCTGACCCAGCACCTCTCAGCAGAACTGCCACCCCATCCCTCCTCCCGCCCCCTTCGTTGTATACATAAGTATTTACTTTTGTCGGCAACGCTTTTCATTTGCTTTACACAATTTTCGTGGCACATTTTTTTTGTTGTTGTGCGTTTTGTTGGTTTTTAATTAAACATTTAAATGTGCTGCTGCTTTTGAAAAGAAAAACAAAACACACAATTTGCATAAATTGTTATAAACAATTTCAAAATGCACAACTCAAGCCAAGTCGCCATTTTGTGGAATGCAGACATTTTGTGCTGTGCGCCGTTGCAATTCAAATAAATCAATGCAAGGTGGCAACAAAAATAAAAATAAGCGCATTTTGTCATGCCTAAGCGCATTGAGAAATTAAAATTGATTGACTCACAAGACAAACACATGAATAATTATATTCATATATACATATGTATGTGTGTATATGGGAATTCATTGCATTGTATTCCGCTTTTGTATACTATTATTTATCACAAGCGCCATCTTGTATGTGACTTGTTGTCGTTGTCATTGTTGTTGTTGTTGTTATTATTGTTGTCTGACTGTTGGCGCTTGCGCTTTTTGCATTTCAATTAAATTGCGCCCTGACAATGTTTGACAGTTTGTCAATGCGACGACACCCTCAACTTTGCTCCCCCCTCCCCCCACACACACACTCCCAACCAGTACAATTACTGTATAAGCTCTGGCTGACATTGATTTATTTTGCCACATTATGAGGCACTGTTAACTAACAGTGCTGTTTAAAGCGGCCACAAAACAGCAAAAGCAGCAACACCAACAGGACACAAAAATTCAATTCTCTGCAATTTAGCACCTCATCCAGTTGGCCTGGTTAAAGGGAATTGAGACTTGGAATGCAAAGGCGAATTGCTACATTTTGTAGTTGTTTGCTTTTCTGCCTGCTTAGTGCGTTTTGTTGCTGCATCATGTTTACAACTTAATTTATATACATTTGTATGTGTGTTTGCAACGGCTTAGGCTTTTTGACCAGCTTGTCACTGCTGTTTGCGGCCACATAATTACCTCGAGTTGGGCATTTTGTAGGCGTTGGAAATTCATTTTGAATTCTCGCACATTTCGACTTCGATTTAGCAGTCGGAGCTGTCTGTATGTGAAATTGTTACAAGCTCGTTAACACAACACCAGTGCCACCACCACCACCACCACCACCATCACCAAAAGAAAACCAAACAAAAAATACAAAAAATTCAGACTATCTGCAGATACTGAAGTTGGACGGAGTCTTTTGGGGTATGACCTCTGATTTATGTTAATGGCAGCGTGCAGCAAGCCAGCCAGGCAGCCAAAGAAAAGAAACCAGAACAGGTGAGCCACAAGCAAGCTAACTGTGGCGGAGGCAGGGGCAACAATTAAAAATCAAAGTCAAACATGATCAACGCCAGTTTAGGGCCGCGTTGCAATGTGTTCTCCTTCTTCATGCTGTGGTTGTTGTTGTTGTTATTGTTGTTGTGGTACGAGCAACATGAACATAAGCCAAAAGCTGAAAGCTGCAGAGCTAGAGGATGAGACTCGGAAACTGCGACAGAGACTGAGACTGAGGCTGAGTTTGAGACAGAGGCGCAGACAAGATACCAAAAAGACTTTAGACTACAGACTTTGGGTCTGGATTCTTGTTGTGGTTGTGGGTTCTGGGCTCCCTGGATGTTTGCTTGAAAACGAGGCACAGCAGACAATGTTTGGGTCTCGAGTTTGGGGCTACGGTTCTTGTAGCCAATTCGTGGAAATTTAAGCGTGGCGCAGACATGCTCCCCAGTTGTTGCTGTTGTTGTTGTTGTTGTTGTTATTGTTGCTGCTGTTGTTTTTGGGCAGTTTTGTAAAAATTGTCATTTTAATGAATTGATGCTGCTGTTAAAGGCCCCAAGTTGCCTCTCGCATGCCATTTAAAAAATGTTGTTGCCTGGTGTGTCGAGCAACTTTGTTTGCCTGTCCAGGCCAGGCGACGTACAGAACAGAACAGAAAAGAGCAGAACAGAACAGACCAGTATCCTATGCACATACCTGTTTACACATATATACACATATATACATGATTGTTTTTGGGTGCGTTAGTTTTGGCACCGTTCAATTAGCGCGCCAACATATTTGTGGGCGTGCGACATTAGCATAATCAATTTTATTTACCCTTGCCAGCCAACCCCAATAATAAGCGCATAACCAACTAACTAACCAAATTTCTTTCCGTTTTTCTTTTTGTTCTTTTTGTATTTACAGACATTACAGTCGCTGCAGAGCGCGGCCAAGCGGGCGGGCACATCCTGCGCCAATTGCAAGACCACAACCACAACCCTTTGGCGACGCAATGCCAGCGGCGAACCTGTTTGCAATGCCTGCGGATTGTACTACAAGCTGCACAACGTAAGTAGAAAGTCAAATAACTAAATGGCTATAGAGACACACACATATATATAAATATATATAAATCAGTATTCAAGCCCCCACCCTGAGCGCCTCATCGATTTGTGATTCTTTATTTTTTTTTTTTGTGTTCGCTCTTAACCCTCGTTAAACGCTTAAGCGATTTAACGCAACATTTAACAGCGACTCGGGCCACTCGAGCGTTCCGAGTTCCAACGGAAGCTGACAAACGTTGCCTGCGCTCACGGGAAACACACACAGATTAAAAGTGACAAAAATGAAGTGTACTCCCCATCGCCGAACGCCCTCTTTTGTCCGTTGCCACAGAGGGTGGCAGGTTGCACCAGCAAACAGCAGCAACAGCAGCAACCCCGATGATGAATTGTTGATGATTATTTAAAGATGCCCGTAGTGGTTGTTGTTGTTGCAAGATAAGCGTCTGGTGTTTGGCTGTGAAAACGCGATAAGCTTTGATTTTATTATGGCTAACGCGTGCGACGGCAAACGGCGACGGCAACGGCAACGCCAACGGCGAAGGGTACCAGAAATTGGCGTAATTTATGTAATAGACTACAGCTCACTGAGTTGATTCTCCGCCTCACATTGTCCCCTTCCGAAATGCAGCCAATGATATAGTAGATGCTGTCGAGCCATGTGGAAACTAGATTTAATAACATTTTCGCGCCCTTACCTCATTCGCCCCCATTTTTTTCGAGGGTTGTTTTGACCAACTTCTGGCTTATTAAATATTCATTAGCCAAAACCAAACAGGGACAGCGCATAAGCGCTTGAGCTAAGTCTGCGCGATTTGTATACCCTGTGAATATTTAACTAGCTCGAGAGGGTATCTTCGCATTGTTGAACTCTATCTTGTATTGTATATATTATAGATTTTCAAAAAACTAAAGGATATCAAAGCTATAAGGAATCCAGTATTTACTTGATGCAGTCAACGTGAATCATATTTTCTTAATATACAATTTATGGACTTATGGAATTTTATTTATATACAGATTGTTTTTATTATTGTCATATTTTAAATTTTGAGGTTATTCATTAAATAGCTGTAGGATATTTTCTAGTCAAGCATTCATTTAAAATTTCATTTTTGTTCTTTTGCTTTCTTTAATGTCCTTGTTTTTCCTTTTCTTTTTGCGTAATGCCTGCAGTCAGCTTTTAATGAGTTTTGTAGAATGTGGAAAAGTTTTGAGAAAAATCACTTGAACTTTTAGCACATTTACATGTCAGTGGCTCCTTAAAATGATGATGGGCAACCTGTGTCTATTCAGCGAGTGCCGCAAACTAATTAAACTGTGGCTTCTGCAACTAATTCTGCAATTGAAATGCTGAATTTGCCGATTTCGATGGTAATCGACGCGGCGAAATGTATTAATTGAGCGTGGTCAAAGGCGAAGTCCGACTGGGGTAGATATATATATACACACACATATCTATGCTCATATATCAAAGTGAGCGCAATACACATATTTACATACATTGAATGCTCCATATATCTAATCTGATTTGTAAGCTTGTAAACACTGAAAGCGGCGGCTGCTTGCAACGCGGCGTATGAGCAATGCGCCAAAATAGCCCACTAGCTGGGTGACTGTCAGTGTGTGTGTGTGTGTGTGTGTCTATGTGTGTGTGTGCTAGCTAATGGCCTACACACACACATACACATGCATGGTAGCTAACACATGTGCCTGCGCATTCATAGCAGCGAAAATTATTTTGCAAAAATGTTCTTTCAATTGGACAGTGTCCCATCTTGATAAGATGCCAATCAGCGCTGCTTTTTGCATTTCTCAGGGCTCAGCTGTTTGTTGTTGTTGATGTTGTTGTTGTAGCTGCAACCTAGCCTAGCTGGCAGTTCATTTCAATTCAATTCGTTTGTCATTTGGCCGCCATCGTTGTCGTTGCCGTTGTCGGCTTGTGTGGGCCTCTTTTGCTGCTGAGCGATCTGGCCACGTGATTGGCACATTTTATGGAAATGCTGACTGCATTTAGTTGCCCCCTCTTCTTTGGCGCGAGTGGGGGGCTAAACGTTACGCGTGTCTTCACGCAGTTCACTGGAAAATGTGGCTGCAGAAAACTGCTAATTAACAGCAAATGAGACACTTGCCGTCGCAGCGCACACAACGCACACACGTCCTGTTTTTGTTGTTATCAGCAGCAGTTAATCAACTCCTGCTGCGCTTTGCTGCAGCTGCTGAGTATCCTGTGGCGTCAACATGATATATGTCGCATATATTTAAAGGTGACCTAACGGAACGCCGAGAGTGCCAGAGAACTGAGAAAAGAGAATCAGAACCAGGGACAGAGCCAGAGCCATAGCCTGGCGCCGTCTCAGTCAATTTACCAACAACAGGGTACAGCTCTGTACTATCTATTCAGCAGCCTGTCTGACTATCATTCTGTCTCTCTCTCTCACTGTCTCTCTTTATCTCCCTAATGCATGTGTGGTCCACCCACTCGGCTATCTTTTCCGCCTGTCAAATTGCAAGTCAACTGCAGCGGCGCGTGTTGCTTACTCCCCTTTCCATATGCACCATGCCAGGCAATCGTTTGCATGCTCGATTAAGATTTTATGCATAAGAATCTGTGCTGCGCTTTGAGTGAGTTTTCTGCTGAATTCCTTAATGAGCAACGCCAGGGCCCCGAACACATTAACAACTTTATGCTTTGTTTAGTCTCTGCTGCTGCTGCTGCTGTTGCTGCTGCTGCTGTTGCTGCTGCTGCTGTTGATGTTGCTGCTGCTTCAGCTTCGGCTGCATATCAATTAAAGCTTTGTGAGCAGCAGCTGGCGAGTTGCTAATTGCCACAATTTGTGCTAAACACTAGGGAGCGGCAGAGACCAGAGAGAGACTATCAATTACCGCCGCCGATCGTCCAATTCAGCATCGCATCACTGTAAGTGATACGTTTTGCTCTGGTTTGCCCTTGTTTTTCTTGTTCGCATTACACAATCAACCCTCGCCAGGCAGCAAACAAATCCGCACTCACCAACAATTGCCAGCAATTTAACAATTTCTGTGTTTGCATTGCAACAAAAAAAGAGGCACAATAATGTCGTAATTCACGCCCAGGTAGCCGAAAGTTAGACAGAGAGAGAGAGAGAGAGAGAGAGAGAGGGCTGTTGCACTCAACTCTAAGTACGACAATATACCATACATAATGTAACTTTTCTTTCTTTTGTCGTCGGCGCAGCCTCGGCAAATGGGTAACTCAATATTGTAATTGTAGCGCAATGAGGCGGCGTTGTTGTTGTTGTTGCTGCTGCTGTTGTTGCTGTTGTTGCCTAGATGTTCGCAAGTGATAAGAAATTGCATATGAAGCGGCAGGCAGGCAGCAGCAGCCTCAACAATGGCCAAAGCTGAGCGACTCACAAAAAAAAACAAAATAAAAATACAAATATAAAAAAAATTGTTTGCCCGGGTGCTGTGCCGTCCGTCGTCGTTTGCTATCAGCGCCAACTAATCGCATTCGCAAATGTCGCTTATCTGATCGTGTAGAAATGCTTGTAATACTTCATTTTCACTTCCCGGTTCCCGGTTGCCACTCAGCACAGCGGCACAGTGCGTTTGCAACAGACAGCGTGTGCAGTTAGCGGCATTTCCGGCCAAGAGGGCTTCACCATGAATTTGCATAAATTTGACCCATTTTAGTTGCTGCTGCCGCTGCCCAGCGGCAGACACAGTTTATTGATTTTCCCTATTCGCAACAAAACACCCACTAACAACAGCTGCCATTTCTTCTTCTTCTTCTTCTACATTGTTTTGCAGGTCAATCGTCCACTTACCATGAAAAAGGAGGGCATACAGACGCGTAATCGCAAGCTCAGCTCCAAGTCGAAGAAGAAAAAGGGCTTGGGCGGCGGCTGTCTACCAATGGGCGGCCATTTGGGCATGGGCGATTTCAAGCCGCTCGATCCATCGAAAGGTTTTGGCGGCGGCTTCTCCGCATCCATGGGTGAGCATCAACTAACATTGGCTGCTTCATGGCCAGCCTGCTAAACCACAATACGAATTCTGCTTTGTCCTTCCAGCGCAACATGGACACCTTTCCAGCGGACTGCATCCGGCACATGCGCATATGCATGGCAGCTGGTATACCGGCGGCATGGGCGCATTGGGTGCCTCCAGTGGACTGCAGGGTGGCTTCTCCACGGCAGGCTCCCTTGGGGGCGGTGTTGTGCCCCACTCTCAGCCCTATCACTTGGGTCTCAGCTCGATGGTGAGTAGTCGCGTCATAAACATATAAGAGAATTTATTTCTATCGTATAAGAGAATTAAATATTGTTTGCTAATATTTGTATTTCTCGTCTCTCTCTCTCTCTCTCTCTCTCTCTCTCTCTCTTTCTTGGCATCTACAGGGCACATGGCGCACAGACTATACGTGATGGAGCGGGAACAATTTGAACAACAACTTGTTCAGCTAGAGTAGTGGCGATTCACAACTTGACTTGATTTCCAAACACAATGCCAAACTGAGGACTCCCTTCGCAGCCATTGACGGGCCACATGCCACATGTCACATGCAGCAGCGCCAGGACACATAGCAAGGACGCGCCCAATCTTCACGTGCCGTTGTCTTCTTGTCTTCGAAGATGTTGCGTTGCCCGCGAGTGTGAGCTCGTCAAATGCTGCCTATTCCTAATTGTAAACATTGCGTGCAATTTTTAATTATTTAAGTTTTCGTTGTCGGCCAGCTGCTGAAGCAAAAGCCCATTAAAATTAATTAAAGGGCCGCACATATTATTTTTATTGCTCTTGTGTGTGCTTGAGTGAGGGAGTGATTGTGCGTTGCTGTACATATGTGCAGTGTGTGTGTATGTGTGTGTGTGTGTGGGTATGAATTCATTGTTTTATTTTGCGCTTAATTAATTTAATTTCTCGACGCAAATTCGGCGTATTTAATTGTGCTTTATAAACTGCCATAAAATCAGCAAAAATATTAGCAAAACAAAAATGCAAAACAAAATACAGAAAAATATATTAAAGCAAAAGCCCGACAAACGGAATTTCATAAATATTAATATGTATATATGTATGTATAACTGAGAACAAGAGCCGCATTAGAAACTGCAGAAACAACATCAATAAGCACACAGAAACTAACGATAATTAAGCATTAAAATTAACTATTAAAATGCACGTCCAAAAGAAAAAAGCAACAAAAAAATAAAATGAAAAAAGTAACAACTGTTTTGTATAAAGCAACTACAAAATGTTTATCCTATTTCGCAATGCAATTGTAAATTGCAAAATACTTTAAGCTGTAAATTAGCTAAATTATTAGACATTAAACAAACAGACGTGATAAACAAAAAACATAAGCATAAACATTAATTTAAACAAATTAATCATTGTAAAATAATCTTAAAAAAAAAAAACCGCAAAGGAAAAGAAAAACACGAAAACAAAAACAAAAGTAAGTCAAATGAACCGTACGTATTTATATAAAAAAAAAGCACATACTATATATACAAATACATATAATATTTGTACATATATCTGTTCAATGTTAATGCCTAAGTCTTATAAATATATACACATAAATACGTTTAAATCAATTCAATGTTAAAGGCAATTTGTAACATACGTGGAAAAAGAGGAAAGATAAAATGAAAAATAATATTTGTTAGCAATTTTGTATAATTTTAGCAAAAGACAAAAAATATTTATAAATCGCATAATAACCGCTTAAGTTCTGTGTACATATAATACAAATTTAGTGTTTAACTTAATTTATATGTATGTGTGAGGCATAAACAAATATGTAATATGTATGTATGTAAACTTACTTCTAGAAATACAGATATGAATGTATGTTGTAAGCATATGCGATAAATGTATTGTAATTGGCCATATTGATAGTTGAATATATAAAACATATGTTTATTTAAATTTAAAGGCAATCACCAGAAAACATAAACAAAAATGAAAAAAAAATACAAAAAAAAAATACAAGCAAACAACAAACAAAAAAATAAATAAAATAATTTATGAAAAAAAAATATATATATAAAGCGAGTGCTTCTAATTGTGTGAGTGAAATTTAAGAACGGTAACTGACGGCAAAGATTGATTAATTGCCGCCAGATGATTGGACAGAAATCGATAAACGAAATCAGTCGAAGCGCTCAATTGTGTGAACATAGGCGAAGCAATGTCTTTATAATGCCCATTTATGCTTATGAATTGCTCTTTAAATTTCGATGCGTCTTCAATACAAAACGTGCGCCGTCTGCGATCTGTTTGTTGGCAACGTTCCTACGTTCCTTCGTTCTAACGTCTCTGCCACAGTTGGTTATTTGTTATGCAGCATTTGTTGTTATTGAACGCATGAATTATGAGCCGAAGTCACAGTTGCTTGTATTGAGGCGTGAAATGGCATGTTAATATTTATTGGTATGCGAGAGAGTACGACACCAGATAAAACCAACACCAGCACACACAACAGTGAAGGCAGCTTAAGTTCGTTGCCTAAGTCTTTTGTTTTATGAGTGCGGCGGCAAGTCAAAAAGCGTACTTCAGGTGAAATAAGTAAATAAGTAAGTACTTTTGCCAAGCGTTATGAGTATGTAGTTAAAAACTAGACGGCCGAGTCCGAGTTTTATAGGAATGGCGCTGTGGCTAGCGTTAATTAATGGCCAGCGCGTGTCTACCGGTCATAAAGTGATATCCAGCTAGGCAAATTTTATGATTGCCGCTCATTCGCTGGCAACATTGGCAACCTATCAATGCGCATTCGTTAATTCCATTTAATTGTCAACTGGCATCCGCTTCCGCTGCACCTTGTACCACATTTTTCATGTTTTGCAAAGAGCCCTTACATGCAAGGCTCATCAAGAATCTATTTAATTTAATAACAATAACTATATAACAAATACGTTGCATGCTTATCACCTGCATCACTTTTGTCAGCAATTAAATGCACGTTACATGCAGCCAAGCACATCAATGTTAAAGCCGCCATATGTATTTATCGATGTCACAGAAGTAGTGCCTGCTTGTGTCATGTGCAGCATCACATGAGTTTCGTATACCGTTCTGGGACCCCCCTTATCTAATTGCATTTAAATCCAACATGCGACAATGTATCTATCTGGCCACTCTCATAATTGTTATATAATTACATTGTGATTCGAACAAAGTACGTATGTCATTTTTGGTTATTGGCAGGGCAATTAACTTGAAATAATCACCAACTTTATTTCCATGTGCTGCGTTTAACATTAGCTTAGCTGTCTATCAGTCTGGGTTGTTTTTTCCCCCTTTCTCTCTATTCCTCACCACTAAGCATGGTGATCAATGCATTACAAATGACCGGCCATATAAATCAGTTAATCAGCATCTGCGATAAGCAATGCAAAGCATTTCCACACAGTGCCAGGGAAATGCTCACACCAACAGAAAAGTCACCACACACGCAGCCAACTATAACCATAACCAAGCAAAGCAAAATATGAGCATGAATCAATGGGCCTGTGAACAAAGCAGCAGTCACAAATATTTGGGCATGCATTAGCTAATTAGTGTTTAGACCTTGCCAACGAAAGCGACGCTGGGCCCCATTCCGATGATCTGATTAGGGAATATGGTTGCAGCTTGATTTGTTCAATATTAAAATCTACAATATTAAAATATTGTACAATATATATCTACAATATTGAAATCAATATTTATATTTATTTAGCATATATGTACAATCATTTTTCAAGAGCTCTCTCTCAACTCGATTATCCAGTTTAAATATAGATAGGTAGATGAAGGGAACAACCAAATAAGAAAATGAGCTAGAACGACTCTTCGATAAGTAAAATAAATAAAATAAATAAATAAATACAAATAAATTTTGGGTTTTGGAAATGAATTAGCATAAATTAAACCTATGTAATCATGTATTAATTTATTAGATTTCAACGACTACCTAAATATCTTACTTAGCTTTTGAAAATCTCACACATTTGATCAAAATCAAATAAAATTACATGTCGTTGTAAAACCAATATTAATTTTGTTAATCCTTATAGAGATTAAATTGACTATCTGAATAATGGGATTAAGAAGTTTATGCAGGTTATGCTCTGACGATTTCTAGAAAATTGTTCATTCTAAAATCGCACTGAAACAAGTAATAACTAAATAATTTTGATACGGGATATGATTTGCTGAATGACGTCATAAGGCCAAAATACTTAGGTTTCAGCACTTTGTCTTTAATATGCTTAAATAATATGAATCCGAACTTCTTAATTATAAACATTGAAACAAAACGAATATTTCTACAAAGGACTTTTTATAATCGATACACCATTTAGAACATTTTGGTGACTCTTTACAAATCTGTAGTAATCAGTATTTGATGATTCTACCAATCCAATTTTAAATATATTTTTTATATATCAATAAACAATTAAGTTAAAAAGCTCATGATTTTACAAATGCATAGGAAGCAAACAAAACGGCAACGGCAACAAATATTTGGTCATGCATTAACTAATTAGTGGCAGCAGCAATAATGTTCCGATAACACTGGACTTTTGCCTCAAACTTTGTCTCCGCTGCTGCCCGCTCCATCGCTTCCTATGACCACTGCCATTGGCCATGGTTTGTGCGCTCGTGCGTTTGGTTGCAGGTTTATCTGATTGGAAATGTATGGGCCAACAATGGCGACACACAACAACGGCAACGGCAACGGCAACGCACACAAATACAAGCAGAGCGAAACAAACGGACACAAACAAATAAAATGCTTCTTTAGATGATTAACTATGATAGGCCACTGTGTGTCCATTGGACCAATGTATTGGTCCCATGAATATCGATACATTTGTTAGATTTAAATGGATTTTAATATAGCCCGACACCGACGCCGACGTCGACGCCTCAGCTGCAAACCAATTTAATTAGCCTGCTTGTTGTAGATTGAAATATACGTTATAATCTGTAGAGCCATTACACATATATAATGTTGTAATGGCCACACACACACAGGCACACATACATATATACGATTGCATTACTATATATTTATCAGCCTGCATCAATGCAAAACTCATCAATGCAGTTGTTGCCCAGGCAGCTGTTAAATGTAATTGCATTTCTATGCATGTGTGGTTTGTCTATTCATTAATTTTCGAATGACAGTCACAATTTCAATTAAATTTCAACTTAAACACAGTCACACACACACACACACCCACACATACAAATAACACACAAATAACCAAACCAAAGCTATGTTTGTGTGCGACCAACGATTGGGCACAGGCGATATGGGCAACAACAAAAACAACAGCAAGTGAAGCTCATCGTTCTAATTAGAATTATCCTAATGAAATTAAATTGCAAATTGTGTGTGTGCGAGTGTGTGATATTAATTATATAAATTGCATTTGCCATTAGCAGACATATTGCATTAATGCATTTCTAGTACTATGCAAACCGCATTTGCCATGCAATTTGAGCAAAGTCATAATTTGTTTTAGATTCTGATTAACTGAACTGAAACCGCCCCAAGCAAAAACAATTTCATTTCTCAGCTAATTTGATTAAATTAAGCCTGGCGCAATTGAAATTGTGGGTTTTTAATGTCACAACATGTCCAGCAATGGAATCCATAGGCCTAACTAGGCCTGGACCTGAGCTGCGTCCTAGCCATATCAAATGCTTAATGGCAACGGCCATGTCAATTCGTGGCATATTAAATAGGAATATTGGCATTGGCAATTGCACAGATA